CCTACTTTTCTGCAAATAAAAGGCTAGGGAAAGTGGAAACAATACGACTAGAAAGTAAATGCATCACATTTAATCCTATTGAATATGCTGCACTGCACTGCTCACAAACCATTTCCTCTCTCTCTGTCTCTCATGTCCTGAATTCTGGACTTGCCGATTCTCGTACGTGGACTGAGTTCATCGGTTTATCCTGGGTGCACGTGGCATGCGTTTGTCTTAACGCTGCGAGTAAAGTCTTGCCCTGGAGTCTCACATTGCCGAGGGGGTGGAAGGGGGGGGATTAGGAGCCAGTTTGACTACCGCTGACCTGCCTGCTCCTTTACAAGGAAAGATCAGCTATCAGGGCTGTTGCTGCTTTGTGCCCTGCTGTTTGAGGGTGGTGTAAGGGATTCCTCTTTAAGTGCATAGGGGTTCACCAAGCAGTTGGGGGTAAAAAGGGCAAAGGAAGGGGGAGGTGAAGACTTTCAGATATCGTCGGGGATGCACAGATAGAGGCTGGTTGTCATCAGTAGAAGCCCTCATCAAAAATCACTTTCAAGCCTCTCAAGAGACTCACATCCTCCTGGGTAGTGTTGTCCCAAAACGCTGCAACAAGCAAAGACCAGGTTTTTCTAATCAGACTTGAAACAGGCTACTGGCAGGCTTAGTGGTTAGCAATGACAGCCATGTCATACAACACAATTTACAGAATTGCACAATTCAGTACAGACTCCTTTAAATGTACACACTTTTTTTTTCTTTCAAACAAAACATTACATAATTGTTCAAAAAAAAATCTACAAATTCACAAGGAAACCACAGCAAACAAAACAATGGATTGTACATGTTATTTATGAGGTAGTTATGTAATATGGTTCCTGTTCACAAAAACAGCAGAGAAGCTGATTCAACAACAGGTTAACAGAGGTAGTTGTTGAAAATCTCAAACCACAGAAAGGCGTAGTTCATCTGGGGGAGGAGCTGAAGCCGTAGAAAATCGGGAAAAGAGGAATTAAAAAAAGAAAAGGGGGCAGTGAGAACGAAAGGGAGGGGGGCGGAAGGAGGGGCTTGTTCGACATTTACTACAACAGATACACTTTTGGGATCTCTCCAACGCAAATTAGATTACGCTGCAAAACATTCACACAGACTCCAAAAACACGAGAAAGGCGTGGCCCTTCTGCTGCAGAAGGAAGCAAAGGGAGATTGGCGAGTAGCTGCTTCTAGATTGGTACACACGGTTTGTGCATGAAAGTTATGCTGAGGGCGGAGCCCCGTGTAACAGGATCTCAACATGAAGGGAAATCCAGGCTTGAAGCAACTCTCTAATGAGAAGTGGACCCTGATCAGAGTCAGATGGGGTGCCTGGAGCACACAGCCCCCTACAGAAAAAGCCGCCCGACACCCTTTGTTACCTCCAAGTGAGCTGAGACCAGCCCATGAACCATGTAACTAGGTGGTTTCCAGGTTAATGAAAAGCTGTAACTCTGGTCTCACCGTCTCCGACGAAGGCCTTTCCAGCACCGCGCAACCCCCCCCATCTTCGCCCCCACCTTCACATATGAACACAGTATCAGGGTGGGGGGTAATTAACTGTTTACATCGTGTGAACTATGCTATACTTGCATGTCGGCATGATGATCGTGTAGTTTCAATGTCAGATTTCGCTTTCAGATTTGGACTCTGTACATGACAGTATCACGAAACATTGTTGTAAATTAAATCTGGAAAAAATATGCAATGCAACTACCCCCGTGGTAACCATGGTTTCTTGAGCTTTGAGATGCCATTTGTTCACTCGTGTTTTCTAACGAACCACGGAGGCATTCAGAGCAGCTGGATTTATACTGAGATTAAATTATGCGGGGGATTTTAATCCACGGTTTCAGAGTAAATACATACTACACTTCAGAGCTTTCTTTAAACTATTTGTCATTTTCCTTTCCAGTGATGCCCCTTCCTGCATTGGACTTTAAAATAAAATCCCACTTAAAACTTTTGGCCCGTTAGTACGACCGTAACAAGGAAAAATGTGAAAAAGTTTGAGAGAAAACTAAAATGCTCTCTTGATATTTTTATTTAACAGCAAACGTTACAAATTACCTTTTTAAGCACATTTTTGGGTGTAAATAAAACGTCGTGCTTATGTCTGCAGAGTTGAACAAAAGTCATTAGTCGGCTTTGCCTGACCAACAGACTCAAAACAAACATGGCGGCTATGTCGTCTACGTCACCTTCAAATGAATCTGGTTATTCAAGTTTTGCATGATGAGCGACTGAAGAGTTGAAACTGGAGGGGCGACTGGTGAGCCAACAGAAAACACAAAGTCAAAGTTTCCTTAAGCTGCTGATTACTCTATGAACTCAGAGAGGGGTTGTTTTTCTGTCTGCTACGTTCTGGAGAAAATAAATGTTTGAATAAATACTGCAAAGATACCGCTAATAGCTAAATTAATTATGATTAAACCAGATAATAACCAATACATACAGTTATCAAATGTGTAACTGACATGGAAATGTTACTATTTTTATTATTAAACTTTAAGGAGAAGAAACAAACATCTATTGTTGTCCATTTTCGATTAAAAACTTTAATCCTAAATATGTAGGATTTTTTTTTTATCTTGAAGTACATAAATGACAAAATTTGTTGCATTTAGTTTGGCAGTGTTATTTCTCACCCTATTCTTAGAATTTATAACCTAAAGTACAGATCAATGTTAACTTTTTATTTTGTACAATTAAAAACCGTTGTTGCAAAAATAACTCAAACAAAGATAAATAAAATGAAATATATTTTCAGTTTTTGAGATGATTAGTTGTTTAGCTTAACTGAAAATGTAATCAACTGATTGCTAAACGCTAGCGGCAACCATGAGCTAAAGTCGTACAGTTCAAAAAAGCACCAACAGATTTTTCAGTATAAGAATCGTTAGATAAAATCTGGGTTATTCACAGAGCCACTCAGAATGGACTTTGTTCTACTGCTTTAGTCAGAAATACATGTCTGTCTCTCTCAACAAGGAAGGAGGTTGTAAATCCAACCGATTGAACATGGAGTCGCTCAGATGAAAGAAATATGCACTTGTTAGGAAAAGTGAATAACTGGTCGGAGTGCAGATTAGTAAAAAGGCAACACGACATGAAAAAACTGTTCGTTTTTTGTGTCAGATCTCAGCTGAGTTAGCGCTAACGATTCTTAAATAACTACAAAGTATTTTTCCTGTCAGTGTTTCTCATCATGAATGTGATTTAAAAATAGCTCCAAATTTGGTAGGGGTTTTTCCCAAAGTGGCCAATTTGTCTTTGCAGTTTTTAATATAAAACAGCAGGACTGAGCTATTCATTGGTAAACTTCTGCTAATTTGCATTCTCCCCGTCCTTTCAAATGTAGGAAAGATAGATAAACCCTCGCAGGAAGGCAAACAGGTACACATTTAGTCGAGATTACCTTCCTGAAAATCAAAAGGCGAAGGGGAAAAAAAACCCTTTGATTTTTTTTTTTTTTGGTTGTGGAAAAAAAAAAAAAAGTAAATTCACTCCAGTTGCTGTTCAATTTGGACTGTTGGACATTAAAGCAGTTCCTAATAAGAGCCATGCCTGAGAGAGAAACACACACACACACACACACGAGCCAGGGAGAGAAACCCAGCCGAGGTGTGTCTGACTCTCGGCTCCAAGGTTCCTGCTAATAGATTTCAGCTCCCCAAGTGTCCCAATTAGCCAGTGTGTACGCTTGCTTTATGAATTCATCTGTAGATATTAGAGTGCGAACATGAACATGTTTTCGCACAACTTCCTTCCTTCTGCTTGCATTCCTTTAGCGTGGAAACGTCCTGCCAATTAGGCAGAAATATTTCTTTCCGTGTTATTTGGAACCGTAGACAGATTATTGGGTCTTCTGTATGCATATATGGAAACAATTAAATTTAAAAACTCAACAAAAAAAAAGTAAGTAAAGGCCAAAAGGAATCAATTTACGCAGGCCCACTGCGAACAACAAAAGTCTTATCAGCATAAACACATGGTGACACAAACAGAACACAAACGGATAAACATGTCCGCTTTAAAGCAACTTTTATCACTTCTGAGGGAAGAGCGCCGCAAAGAAAACAGTGAGCGCACTTTTAACCCTGACCTCATGTGAGGACGGACAGCCAGAGCTCAAGACTTACCTGTAATAAAGCCTGCAGTTTCCACACGTGACCATAAATCACGGCGTGTGCCTTCAAAGTATCAAATATCGACCAGTACGGCACCGCTCACCCTTGGCTTTCATCCCCACTTCTTGCTCTCCGCGTTCTAGCGGTGGCACGGCCTTCAAAGTGAAAGCGTCTCAGTTTTTTAAAAGGCACGCCGGGCAATTTATTTACCAAGAAAGTGCTGCCGTAAATGACAGAAAAAGTGGTACAATTTACAGACGAGGAGTGAGTGGGAGGGAGGGAGGGGGGGTGAAGGCAGAGGTCTTGGCTGGTCCTGTGAAAGACTATAAAGCTTTAGTAGTAGCCCACGATCTGTTTATGACTGACTGAGACACTGTGGTGTTAGGCTCCAGAAAACTCTACAGCTCAACGCTGCTGCTGTTCTTAGGATGGTAACGGAAAAGCAGCCGACGAAAACATAGGCTGCTTTCATTGGGGAACTGATTGATTTGGCAAGAACTTGCAGAAAAGAAGAAACTATATATTGTGCTTTTTGGTTGCATAATAAGACAAATATAAGACATAAATTTAGAGCGGCATATTTGCACATTTTGTGAGGTTTGAACAGTGAAACGGTGCATTTAATTTGCAACTAAATGTGTGAGAAAGTTACAACATTGGCACCTACTTTTGTGGGGAATGAGCCCAGATCCAAGGGGGCCTACTAATCTTAAGATTTAACACCCCGTATACTGTTGGCCGCAAAAAAAATAAAAAAATCCCATCACCAAAATTTATGAAGCAGATTCCAGCTAAATTAGTTCCGTTCATCTCGAGGAAACAAACAGGTATATTATGATTTTTATCATTTACGCTCACCTCGTCTTCACGACGTCGAGTGGATGCATCAAGCAGATCTCCACCAGACCTAAAAAAAGAAAACCAGACATTTTTCAGGGTTATAGCTTTGACATAATTTAATCACAGCAGATGTTATGGTCATCAGTGCCTTGTAATCTACCTGAAAGATTGGACTTCCAGTTCTGAGATGTTAAAGAATAATTTTTACAAACTCCTCAGTGGCCCAATTATTGGTATCATGCTGTTAAATTTTGGAAAGGTGGGGGATATTATGCAAAATCAACTTTTTTTTTTTAAACCTTAACCTTACCCAAAGCACTGCCTTTGAGTTTCAGTCCCGAGTGGAGCTCCCACTCCACAGGACACCCCTAACCCACACGGCTCCACCAGACTAGTGGCAGCAACAATTGACAAGCATCTGGTGGAACTGCATGCCTGCTGAGCTCCTAAGAGCAGTGGTAAAGATGCAAAATCTAATTTCTTTTAAGTTGTTTATGCATTTTCATAATAACTGAAGGCACCATTGTTACTTGATTGTGCTGCAAAATGACACTATGTGCCTGGAAAATACATAATCCGCCTCCCTGTCACCTCATTAAATGACTCAGCTAAGTCAGGTCACAGTTGCATGACAAGTACGCAACTCTATACGACTCTTCCTGACTAACCTACAAAGGTTCGCAAATATGACAAAACACTGCGATGTATACTGCTGTGGGAGGGAAGCTCGCCACAGAGTGTCTGGGGAAGAGTGTGTGCAAAAATGAACAACGCTCAAACACGTGATGTGTTGGCTGTTAGGCTTCGACCTGGCTATACTGGCCCTTTCAGTCTTCTCCCATTACGTTTCACAGAAATGAGAGAGGGACGTTTGAGTAGTCCAACACATTTTTGATTAAATGCCCTCCAACTCACAGCCAGGTCACAGGATCATAAACCCTGCCCTATACAAAACAACAGACTTGGATAGATTTGTTTTATATCAAATCTACCTGGGGTGTTTAGTCAAAAGAGACCAAAATTGATCTCAAAAACAAAGCACGAAATTCTAACTAAGGTCCAACTAGAACTGAGCAAAGCACTAGGATGTTCACACACAGCCATCTCTCAGGTCTACAGAGAAGGTTGTGAAGAAAAATGCCTTGCTGTAGTCAGAGGAGGCTGGCTGAGGAGGATAAGAAGGCTGCAGTAGCTCAAGTAACCACCAAGGTTTGTGGAGTACCATCCCTGAATGTACAAAACGTCAAATTTTGATGCAGATGGGCTACAGCAGCAGAAAACCACATCAGGCACCACTCCTGTTCTTGGGAGTCTTGGGCCACAATTCACACATGAATCTTATTCAACATTCAGATGGTTGCCCCAAACATGGATTCACCTTGCCAAATATCAACCAGCATTTCATCACTATTGGTGACCATTTTCCATCCTTTGTGATCATAGCGTTCTCATCTTTCAATGGCTACTTTCAGCAAGACAATGAATCAAGTCACAAAGCTGTGTTATGAACTCAAATTGGTTTCTTGAATGGGTTCACTGTGCACCAATGGCCTTCGCCTCAAGTCACTAGATCTCAATCCAGTACAGTGGATTGTGGTGGAACAGGAGGTTCAAGTCCTGAATATCCAACTGGCAAATCTACAGCAACCAGAGATGCTATGACAAAGAACAAAATCTCAAAAGATATTTTTTTCAGAGTTAGTTTCTCTGTTAGTCTGTACTTTACATGCAGGGGCTAACATGCTCAAATGAACCATGGCATGGACAAAAAACCAGACCTAGACTCACTTTTTGAGTTGGTCTCAGTCCACTTCCAAACGAACTCTGGTGCTGTTCACTTCCAATGTGAATACAAAACCTACCTCGATCTGAACCAACTACAGAAAACATCTACTTTTTTTGGACTTCTCCAGCCATCATTGCTGACCATCATGATAAAAAATTTGTCCTTCAGTGCTGCTAAAGCTACTCCTGCACGGTTACTATGCCTCCACAATATTTGGGCAGACGTGCACATAACCCAACTGGTAGAAAAAAAACAAAACACACAAATTTTGTGTCCAGCCTGCTTACCAAAAAAAATGAAAGAGTGAAATCTGCATTGAATGAGTTGCTCTTGTCATTTAAAATGGCATTGCAGTTTTAATAACGTCACAACTGTGGACAGGTCATCTGTGGTTGTTTTTCTTCTGTGCCCTGTCTTGGCTCTGTCGTTTTTTTCCAGTGGGAGCAATAATCGTCGTTCACAAGGTACAGCTCACTTGCAAAAAGTACACTGTCAAAGCAAACCTCACCAAACAATAAAAATAGTCAGATTTTTGGTCTGGACGCAACAAGCGGACAGAAGAAACTTTCCTAGGGCAAATTTACCGTCAGGCGTTTCCCAAAACGTTACCATGTCAAACATTAGAACCAGCTCTAAAATGATGTAATCGACCTAAATTGGAGTTTTCCTCATGTGAACCATTTTTCCGATTTCAAAGTGCTAATCAAGCAAAAAGGATTTTGCCATATTAGTGTTCATATCATGAATTTAGTGTTTTCTTTTCGTCAGGTGCTGTCTGCGCCACAACTCGGTTGTGAACAAGCGCTCTAAAATTTCTTCAGGGGATTGAAATTTGCTACAATTTAATGACACTAACCATACATGCATGAAAACTGGATACGTCAGCCAATCTGCCAGAAGTTGGAGAATTGATGCAGCTGGGTGATCATTTGGAGACTGAGGTTTCACACAAATCTAAACTATGTGCATCTGTGTTGAAAAAGCCACTGCTCTGGCAAAGAGGCCCTCTGACTCAATCGAGCTACTTTTAACTCCCGATTCTCTCTGCATTGCTTCTCCGCTGCTCTGAGGGCTTTCCTTGCAGATTCCACAGGGGAATGTGTGTGTACACAGCTGCTGTGCAATACGGGCTCTTTCTAATTTGCCCAATTAAACACATTGTCTATAAAAGAGTGTGTCTTCTGGGGGTTTTCAAGGGAAGTAATTATCAAGCAAAATACCACAGGGAAAAAAAAATGACTTTGTCTAAAGTTGCTACTTAAAGTATGAATGGGAAAACCGAGAACTAATGAACCGGGGCAGCGTGGGGCAAAGAGTCGAACAAAATTCAATCACTCGTCCGGGCTGTGGTTGCTAATGACAGCATGCTGAAAAGGTAAATGCGAGACCGTATAGGAGCAATCATTTTCTGTCCTCACTACAAATAGCCCTGCGGAGGGGAAAAGGTGCGTCAAATCTTTCAGTAAGTAATCCGATTACATGACGAAACTAAACCTGTCGGCCTGCTCCATCGGTTTGTGCAAACACAAAGACGCGGGGAGGTGACCGAACACGCTCAGGTTCACCTAATGATGGGGAGGCAGAGTTTGAATATAAAAAAACAAACAAAAAAAAACCCAACAGCTTCCGCAGTAGCGATAAAACAGATCAAATGCTTTCTTAGAAAACTTCACCGTTAACGGCTTCAGTGAATCTGTCACATAACAAAGATAAGAACCATCGCTGGCTACGAATCACAAAATAAAGGTTTCATTCCATCAATCACACGCGTTGCAGTGCAAACATTTAACTTTTACTCATCCGTTTTTTTCTTATGAAACAGTGACCGAAAGCGCAGTGTGCTCTTTGCTAGTTGTGGCAGGATCAAGTGGTGACAAGCAGAAATGCAAACCTCTTTGCGTCTACGTGAGCAACTTTGTGACGCGCTTGCAGGCCAGACACTTTAAGAGCAGCTGATGGCAGATGAGCTGACAGCCTGTTCAGGTTTGGAGAAATATTTGAAACGGCAGAAGGTTTAAGCCCTACTCTAACCTCTTTCAGAGCAGCTGACGCAATATTTTCAGGCCATTAACTGTAACTGTGACATGTTTCCTCCTGTGCCCCTTCAAAATGAAAGTAAAAACAAAAGAAACAAAAAACAATGTGGCACTGTCCTGTCAATTCATGAAACGAACATGGAAAAAAAAAACCCTAGCTAGCCAGAAAGAGAAGTTTATTCACGGTGGGTATTTTCCTAAAGCAAGTTATAGATGATGATATAGAAAGAGGAACCTTTTCCTATCCCAGCTTTTTCATGATTTATTGATAAATGGTAACACTGATACACCTGCAAACCGCAATTAAAACAGACCGAGGATGCATCAGTACATTTAAACTCGGTGAACCTTTTCATATTTCATCTTACTGCAGCCACACATTTCAAATGCATTTTTGAATTGAACTGTATAAGGTAAACAAAAAAGTAGCTTTTTATCTAGTTAAAATCTAAAAAGTATAGCAGGCATTGTATTCAAACTTCTTGGATAAGTCTAAATTTAACTAGACTTAAATTTAGACTTAAGTCTAGTTAAGTCTAAATTTAACTAGACTTAACTAGTCGGTTGTGTGTCGGTTACACACAACCGACAATACCAAGTCGGTTGTGTGTAATTTCATCTTCTTATGAATGTAAACGCCTCAAAGGTTTGTTAGAGAACAATGGAGAACGAACAGCAGGCATGTCGGCTAGAAGGCTTTTAAGAAATTAAAACATTCGGGAATTTAAAGCAATGTCCCAAGATTTTAACATCCCGCTGAGCAAAAAATCGGAAACACTAAAGTTTGTGATAAAATGTGAAAGGCTCTGACAAGATTTCCACAGGCCTGCTGAGAGGCAGCTCATACCCTCCACAGTGACCTAAAGGATCACCGCCCTTCTATTCCAGCTGTCAGCACATGCTACCGTTTAATCATAGAGCTCAGTGGTAGTGAACCCACACACTTCACTCGCCTCTATACCCTCTCTCCAATCCAGTAACCGAGAAGGCTGATGGGCCCGGCTTAGAAGACGATGCCACCGAGTTGCTCTCATTCGCCACCCTAATATTTTCAGTGACGTGCCCATCTGGTTGACATTTATGGCTTCGCTTTGCATCAGCGAGCGACATGTGGGGATGTTTTGTTATTTTGAGAGTCTTTTGTCTCTGCACTACAAGGCAGCGCTCGTCTTCCACCGCCTCGCAGAGTCGCATTCTCGAAGATGTAAACATGTGAATACCAAAGAGATGTCTGGAGAAAAGAGA